CACTGGATCTATCCCATAATTGAGGTAGAACGGCGACTGATTGGTCGTTGCAGAAGGGGCGTTGTTGTATGCAAACTCAAGCATGGGGAGCAAATCTTCCCACTTGGTGATGTCGGGGCAGTTCGTGCGAATCAACTGCTCCATTGTCTGATTTGTCCTCTCTGTTTGTCCGTCGGTTTGCGGGTGGTATGACGACGAAAACTGCAGGCGGGTGCCGTACTGTGCCCACGTCTCCTGCCAGAACTTCGACGTGAATTTCGGATCCCGATCGCTGATGATCGCCGAAGGTAACCCGTGGAGGCGTACGACGGTCGCGATGAAGAGCTTTGCTGTTTCTTCGGCTGTGATCGTCGTGCGGCATGGTGCGAAATGCGCCATTTTCGTTAAGCGGTCGACGATGACGAGGACCGAATCGTTGCCACTTGCGCCAGCTGGCAGCCCGGTGATAAAATCCATTGTCACATGTTGCCACGGTCGTTCGGGTGGTTCGAGTGGCTGCAGCAATCCCGCTGGACGTTGCCGTGATGACTTCATTGCTTGGCAGGTCGGGCAGGCGGACACGTAGTGCTGCACGTCCGATGCCATGTCGGGCCAGTAGTAATTCCGCTGCAGCAGCTTCAGTGTTTTTTCGACGCCGAAATGCCCGGAGAGGTTGGAGTTGTGTACTTCCTGCGTCAGCAATTCTCGTAGGGGTCGGTAGGAAGGTACCCAAACTCGGTTGGTACCGATTTTTTAGTAATAGCTCCCATGTGCAGTGGTGACCCGTTGATGTTGATTGGTCCTGAAAAACCTGTCGGTCTTGTAGCCGTGCTTGAATAATCCTGCCAATAAAGGGTTAGAATGGGCGATTAGTACTGCTGCGGTCTGCATCGATGGGCGGGTCAGGGCGTCGGCGATGTTGTTGGCGCCCTTTTTGTAGGTGATGGTGTAGCTGAAATTGGACTCGAGGTAATCGAGCCACCGAATTTGTCGCGGGTTGAGCTGTGGTTGGCTGCGCATGTACTGTAATGACTTGTGGTCGGTTCGGATGGTGACGTCAGCTCCCGTGAGGTAACAGCGCCAGGTACGAAATGCATGCACGATGGCGAGCATTTCTTTGTCGTGGACAGGGTAGTTGCGCTCGGGCGGCTGCATTTTCCTTGACTCGTACGCGATGGGTTGCAGCCCGTTGCCGAAGTCCTGTAATAGCACAGCGCCGACGGCGAAATCGCTGGCGTCCGTCACGACTTCGAACGGTCGAGATGGATCTGCCAGGCGAAGTACCGGGGGTGAACTCAAAATTGTCTTCAGTTCGTCGAAGGCCAGCTGCTCTCTCTCCCCCCATAAAAATTGCACGCCCTTATGCAGCATATCGGTTAACGGCCTGGTTACCCCCGCCATATTCGGTACAAAACGGCGGACGTAGTTAACGAAGCCGAGGAAGCTCTGCAATGCCGTGATGTTCGTGGGCGGCTTCCACTCTGAAATCGCTTTTACTTTACGAGGGTCAATTTTAATGCCCTCCCCTGAAACCACGTGCCCCAGGAACTCCAGCTCCGGCTGTAAGAACTCGCACTTAGAGCCCTTAGTAATCAGTCGGATCTGCTGCAAGCGCCGGAACACTTCCTCTAAGTCCTGTAAATGCTGCTCCCGAGTCTTGCTGTACACCAGGATGTCGTCCAGGTAAACTATCACCTTCTTGTCCAGCATGTCCCGAAACACCCCATTCATGGTGAGCTGGAAGGTCGAGGGTGCGTTCGTCAGTCCGAATGGCATCACTGTATACTCGTAACTGCCGTAGCGGGTGCGAAACGCAGTCTTCGGGCAGTCGTCGGCGAACACGCGAATTTGGTGGTAGCCACCTCGCAAATCGATTTTCGAGAAGAAGCGAGCCCCGCGAAGCTGGTCCAGCAGGTCGTCCGCTCGCGGGATCGGGTAACGCGACTTGATTGTGACCCGATTCAACGCTGGATAGTCGATGCACATGCGCAGGCCTCCGTCCTTCTTCGGTGTGAACAGTATCGGGGCGGCGTAAGGTGACGTGCTCGGCCGGATAAAACCCTTCGAAAGCAGATAATCCAGCTGTTTCCGCAACTTGTCGAGCTCCGGTTGGCTGAGCCGCCACTGTGACCGAACAGTTGGTTTTGCGCCTGGCTCCAGCTCGATCCTGTGGTCTTCTGGACGCTGAGGTGGCAGCCCGTCAGGCAGGTCATCCGCGAAAATTTCGGGATACCTCCGAATTATGCTCGCCACGTCGTCTGGTACAGCCGCGCAGAGCGTGTCAATGTCGGCGATTTTCTCGGATGCGACCACCTCGTACAGCTGTACGGCGTAGCCCTGCGCTCCCCGTTTGATCGCCCTCTTCATCGTGATTGCATTGACACGTGTTGTCATCGGCTCCGGCTCCGTCCATTTCGGAAGTGTCACGCGCCCCTTGTTGCACAGCACCGTGATCGCCCCCGTCGTCCAGTCGATCGTCGGATTGAATCGTTGTAGCCAATCTCGTCCCAGCAGCACATCGCAACCGTCCAGTGTTGTCGCCAGCATTCTCATTGAAAACCTGAAATCGTCGCCACACTTCATCCGAATTTGTCGGACCTCGTCCTTTATCGCCAGCGGTGTCCCGTCCACCAGTCGCGCGTCAATTTCGGGCAGACACCTGTCCAGCTTGACTCCGATTTTTTTGGCCGTTGCCAGGTTGATGAGACTGTGGCTCGCCCCACCGTCAACGAAAAGTTTTATGTTTTGTCCGTTAACCCTCCCCACGACCAGCACAGGGTGATCCACGTGTTCATCCACCTTATTCGTCCGGTTGCGGTCGATAGCCCGTATCGGTGCCACTACTCGGTGTGGATGTTGATTGCCGGGCGACGGGGTCTCGTCAGTAGGTGGCCCGACTGCTACTGACTCGTCTCTTTTCCCGACCCCTCTCCGTCGCTCCTGTTTCCCTGTTTCAGCTTCGGGCAGTCCTTCCTCCAGTGGCCCGGTTGGTTGCAGTTGAAGCACGTGTTAGGTCCACGTCTCGGTGCATCCACCCCGTTGATTGTGGGCTAGCGCGGCGGTCCACGAAATTGAGTGCCCTCCCGGGAACTCATTCTCGCCCATTGCATCAGCGCATCCGTTGATTCAGCCACCTGGACAGCATCGAGAAAGTCGCGTGGCCTCGCCCGCCGCACCTCGTACTGTACTTCGTACTTGAGGCCTGCGACGTAGCGGTCGAGTCGCTCCGCATCGCTCATATCGTCCACTTGGTCAGCCAAATTGCGGAATGTTGCCGTGTAATCTTGGACCGACGCCACCTGCTTCCAGGTGCGCAGCTTCATGCGAGCAGAATCCGAGGCGGATACATGCTCGAATCTGTTTCGCAGCGCGGCGCCCCACTCCGTCCATGTGCGTATCGTGGCCACTCCGAAGATTGAAGTTGCTCCTTGCGTGACAGTTGTCCAGGTCCCGTCGTTCGCACGTGACAGCCCTGCCGGAGTCCCCGCTGTCTGAAGAGTCCGCCTCCACCATTCCAACGCCGGCCCTCGTAATAGTGACACTGTTGCGGGTAGCATCGTCAGCAATTTGCGCAGCATTGAAAAACACCTCCACACCGAACAACCATGCCGACACAGTGAAGGTTTTGTCGCTGGGGTTGAACGGGGGCAGGTTCGTCGGTTTTATTTTAACAGTTGTTGAGACTGTTGCTGCTGCATGCATCGGGGGCGCCACTGAAGCCATCACCGGGGTTGTCGCTGTTGCCTGACGTGGCGTAGACTGCGACTGTTGCCTCGGCGCCGCTCGTGTCTGTTGCTGCGGCTGCGACTGTTGCTCCTGCGTCCCTTGTGCCTGTTGCATCCGTGCCGTCCACTCATCTTCAGAGTCCAGCGAGTTCTGTAGCTCGCTAAGGACCTCGTTATTAGGCGCGAAGCTGCTACTTGCTTCATCCACGGCGGGCGACTCCTGACGCGCTTCAACTCGCGTCTGGCGTAGCTCGGCGTTTTCCACCCTCAGGCGATCCAACTCGCCAGACATAGTCTGCATGTTGGATTGCATCGCCCGAAAGTCCTGCAGAAACGCATCAAACTCTGCTTGCGTCATATTTCGGAGACTCATCCTAGCGGGCAGCGGGTTAACAGCGATTTTTGAGGTTTTGATGAAGGCGCAAACGCTATTAGTCGGAGCGAGATAATCGTATCTATCTCTCAGCCGACCGCTTTGCAGCCCACCAAACCTATCGCACCCCTGCACTAAAACTACCCCGGAAAGTGGAGGGTAACCTAGGAAAGTAGCTCTGATACCAAGTGTTATGAGTTGTAAGAATGAAGAGTGCGCAGAATGCAATATCGCGGAAGTGATTACAACTACTGAGCAAACAACGAGGCCTAGGCATAATATAGCACAGCTAGCTAGGCCGAGGTCGCGGAGTCGCTCGAAGGTTGGGTGTAGGTTTGGGGTTGGGAAACCCGAAGGCGACGCGGCTGACGTTCGGAAGGCGAGGTCGACGGACCGAGCCTGAATTCCGAAAGTTGGAATTATACGCGTAAGAGCGGCCTCAGTAAGGAATTAGCAAAATTCCTTACAATCAGTCTGACGTTGCAGCAGGGAACGTTGGGCTCGTCCGCCCTTTTTCCAGCATCTACGGAGAGCGTGGCAGCGCTGCAAGCGAGGGAGGTGCGCCGCATCACCCCGCCTCCGTCCGCACCCCTCCCTCCACCCTTTTCCGCCTCGCCTGCCACCTCCTCCTCATTCCCTCACTTTCTCACCTCTCATTTTTCATCCTGCGTTACACTTTTAGAGCAGCTACATTCCCCTCCCCACACAGCAAGCACCCCTTCAAGCTTTCACCATGGATAGACTAACGTGCAAGATGCCCTATCGTATATTCCGCGTTACTTCGTTACCCGCACTGTCCTCAACGCGTATTTGCTGATCGTCTTCCGAAGGTCACCGCATCCGTCGCTAGGCTTCGGCTTTTTTGTTAGTGGGCAAAGGCCTTCCGCGGCCGCGTGCATTCTGCGGCTTGTGCGGCTGCGCTTATGGCAGATGGTCAGAGCGCGTCGCAGCCGCCCCATTCGGATCGCGATATTCCGTCCCGACCGCCGCTGAAGGCGCTCGGCGCACAGACGGGCGGTGCAAAGCCCGTGGAGGGAGCTTCGTGCAACGGCGTGGTGATCGGTGAGGGCACGCGGCAGTCGGAGAACAAAGGGCACGATGGCGATGGGGCGAGCGCGAAAGATAGGGATACGGATGGCGTGCGCGAGGCAGTGGAGGCGGAGAGCGTGAAGACGCGCGCGCGGCCGAGCGGCAAGGTGGTGCATATGGCGCGCGCGGACCTCGTCGACCTCGCGGATCTCGACCGCGCGCTCGATCGCGCGCTGTCCCGCCGAGAAAAGCCCGCCGCTGCCGTTCAAGCCGCAGGCGCGGCGGGGAAGGGTGGCGGCAGCGACGCGGATAAGCTGGGGCACGGACCGCAAGCCGAGGGATCGGAACGACCCAAGTGGGAGATCGACGTGAAGAAAGTAGTGCTGAGAAAACTAATCGCTAATGGCACGTTCGGCACCGTGTATCGAGGCACTTACCAAGGAAAGGACGTTGCAGGTGCGCCCCCTTTTCCTCACTTGCCCCTTTCCCCCCGTGCTCCTTCCCGCCCTTGCCGCGACCCGCTTCTCGCGCCGTTGCTCGCGAAGCAACGTCGTGCGTGGCGGTTCGAGAGGTGTCGTGAGGGTCCGATCAGCGCAGCTGGAGCTGCAAGGCTGGCTGCAGCGCAACATTTTGCCGATCTTGGTGTCGCGAATGCGCCCATGCTCTCACGCTAATATGTGCCATGCCGTGCCATGCCGTGCCATGCCGTGCGATGTCATGTCATGTCGATCTGATCTGTGCTGGTTGCGGTGTGCGGTGGTGCGTGCGCGCGAGCAGTGAAGGTGCTGGACTGGGGAGAGGAGGACACCATGTCGCGCATGCAGCTCGACAAGCTAAGGCGCGCGTTCAAGCAGGAGGTCACGGTGTGGAGCGACCTCTCGCACCCCAACGTCGCGCAGGTCAGCTGTCGCTGCTGTTGCTGCTGCTGCCGCTGCTGCTGCTCCTCGCCGCCGCCGCTCATGCCGCCCGCTGCTCTTGCCCGCTGCGCCGTGAGCTGACCGTGCGTGCGCGCGCTGCGTGGTGCGTGCAGTTCGTGGGCGCGTCCGTGGCGGACCAGGGCGGGTTCATGATCCCGTCGTTCGACCGGTCGCGCGGAGGGCACAAGGGCGACATCCGCGTGGAGGGCAGCCTGTGCTGCCTGGTGGTGGAGTACGTGGCGGGCGGCACGCTCAAGGACTACCTCATCGCCAACCGCCGCCGCAAGCTGCCTCTGCGCACCGTCGTGCAGCTCGCCTCCGACATGGCCAAGGGGTGCGCGGGCGGGGGGAGGGGCGTGCAGCGCGCAGGCACATAGGGATGGTTGCGGGCATGGGGGTGGGCGAGTGCATAGGGGTGGTGGCGGGCATGGCATGGGTGAGGGAGAGTGGTGCGTTGTGGCAGTCTGCATGTGGGGCTGAGGGAAGGACCAAAGGGTGGAGGTCGAGGCAGAAAGTGGGCCGTATAATTCATGAGCCTGTCATTCGGTCAGAAGAGGGTAGCAGCTCATGTCCTGTGCAGGTCGTCAAGCATTGTGCAACTGCTGCTCCGCCCCTCCACCATCCCCATGGCATGTGTCTGAAATTCCTGTGCTTCTTGCTAGCGTAAATGGGCCTCAAGTCGTGTGTGGTGGCCCTGGGGTATGTGTGTGGCAGGTTGGAGTACCTGCATGCACACGGGGTGGTGCACCGGGACATCAAGTCGGAGAACATGCTGCTCACAGCCAGTCGCCGCGTCAAGGTGGCGGACTTTGGGGTGGCGCGCATAGAGGCGGAGAACCCCAAGGACATGACGGGCGCCACCGGCACTCTTGGCTACATGGCCCCCGAGGTGAACCAACCACGGGGCTGCTGTGTGTGGCGCCGCCAGCTCTTGCTCTCGCTCATTTGCTTCAGTGCCTGCTCTGTTCCCCAAGGCGAAGGAACTGATTAAGCGGTGTCCCTGTGCAGGTGCTGGACTGCAGGCCGTACAACCACCGTGCTGATGTGTACAGCTTTGGCATCTGCCTGTGGGAGATCTACTGCTGTGACATGCCCTTCCCCGACCTCGACTTCAAGGAAATGGCCGCGGTAGTCAATAAGGTGCCTTATTTACGCACGCACATCTGCCCCTTTCTTATTCGCTTTGATGCACGTATATGCAGTATGGCACTAGCACACGCCCATGTGCACACGCACAGTTGCCACACACCCAGATATGTGTGTGCAGCTGGCAGTATGTAATAGCTGCTGCTCCTCTCTTTCCACCTACCTGGCAACACACTGTGTGGAGGCTGCTCTCGTGCACCCCTCCCTCCCTGCCTCCTTCAGGGTCTGCGCCCCACCATCCCTGGAATCTGCCCGCGGGACCTGAGCAGAATCATGCAGCGCTGCTGGGATGCTGACCCCAGCAAGCGGCCCGACATGGGGGAGGTGGTGACGCTGCTGGGGAAGGTGGATCTGAAGCGCGGCAAGGGCATGACTCCCATCTATGACATGCCCAATGATTCCATCTCCTGCTGCTGGGTCACATGAAGGCCTCGCCTTTGCTGCACACCACACTCCACTGCAGCTTGAAGGGCAGATGGCAGGAAGTGGGTGCGAGATGAAAGCACAATGGGTCAGCTTTGCACCACTTGCCACAACCATTCTTTGAAATATATTAAGGGGCTTTGCGGATAAGGTTAGATTAGCATGTAAAATATATATTAAGTTGTCAATGGGGACTGCATACCAGAGCTGCTTCAACAATTCATACTGTAACAAGAATTATCAGTAATGTGAGGCACTTCGGGAACATTACTGTGTGGACACAAGTGTCTCAATGCCCTTTTTCCCGCGACGTGTCGAAACATACAAGATGTACCGTATACCGTATGGCCCCGGATAGTAGCGCATATGCGCTTATAATAAAATCATTTTTTTTAGGGGTGGCGCTAGTAATTGAGGAACGGCCATAAGCGCCGGCGCTTTTATAACGGCAAAAATGATTTTCGAATTCAAATGAACCAAATTGAAGCTCTCAATAAGGCGAATACAATGATGTGACGTGCGCATGGGATCGTGCATGGAATCACGGCGAAACTTGCCGCGATTCGAATTCCCACCACACAAAACCTGTCTAGGAGCAACGCATCTGCCAGCGCTGACGCGTAACCTGTCGTGCGGCCCAATGAGGTCGTCATGCGCTGCCAGGCAGGAGCATCTCGACCGAACCCTCTAGAAAGGGGGTAGAAGATGCCCTGCCAGCGCAGCATGGATGGTTCCATGAACCCTCCTCTGCGGGTTCAGGCAGAGGGGCAACCCTCGTTCATTGACGAGGACCCCGAGGCGCCATGCCGAAGGGGTCCCCTTCATTCTTTCATTTCTTGCATCTTTCATCCAGTTTTTCATTCAGTTTCTCGTTCTTTCCCGCCAGGCTGCGGAAGCCATGGCGGAATTCTCCGGCACCCATTTCTTGTTTAAGAAGAAGCCTTCTGCTAGGCCCGCGTTTAGAGTTGACGCTGACGGGTGGTATTCCCGTATCCCACCAGAGCCACCACAACCTCCTGCGCCTCCTGCGCCGCCTGCTCCTCCTGCGCCTCCTGCGCCTCCTGCTCCTCCTGCTCCTCCCGTTCCTCCGTCTCCTGCATATCCCGTGCATCCTGTGTTCACGGGCAATCAGCCCGTGCTCACGCTCCTTCTCCCTTCGGCGTTCGATGAGTACCTCTCTGAACCGGACTGCGACAAGCGCCAAGATGAGTATGTAGCAGCTCCGGCCCCGGCACCACGATGGGGACAGCCCGATGACTGCAACTGGGATGAATCTGCTGTCGGCGCAGACGACGAGGTGGCTGACGCCGAAGAGGAGTGGCACGCTGAGCGCAACACCGGCGGCGAGGGTGGCACGGAGGGTGGCACCGAGGCCGGCACCGCTGAGGATGTGTTTCCCGAGGGTGCTCCGGGCGGCGACGATGACGACGGCGTCGAGTATTGGTCACGCGACGGGCTTCCAGAGAAGCTCTCGATACCCTCTTTTCCTCCGCTTAATCGCAAGCGACCACACCCTGCTTCACAGAACCGTGATGCCTGCCCCCCCTCTCCCAGGCACAAGATGAACGAGCACAAGCGACAGGCCTACACCGCCGCCGAGAAGTTGAAGTGGGTCGCGCTGCTTGATGTTGCAGTCTCGGTGCGTGTCAGAACATTATATAGCTTATGCTGTTGTGTAGGCTATAGTGGGGTATCCCATAGGGAGTACAACCCAATTAGGGTTTTCCATATGTACTCACCTCATTCATAGTTCATTCATTCTCGTTCTTCATTCTTCTCATGGTATCGAGCAGGTTCCCTCGTGGGAACTGTTCCTAGGGCCCACCGTTTTTTTTTTCCTGCCCGGAGCGCACTCTGCCCCTACCCGAGTCGCGCTCCCCTCTCTCTTGGCCCCTAGTGGCCCCTTTAGCCGCCCGTCACGGCCCTTAGACGCCCGCGCGCCGCCCGTCCCGGCCCCTTAGACGCCCGCGCGCCGCCCGTCCCGGCCCCCTAGACGCCCGTGCGCCACCCGGCCCGGCCCCTAGACGCCCGCGCGCCGCCCGTCCCGGCCCCTAGACGCCCGCGCGCCGCCCGTCCCGGCCCCTAGACGCCCGCGCGCCGCCCGTCCCGGCCCCTAGACGCCCGCGCGCCGCCCGTCCCGGCCCCTAGACGCCCGCGCGCCGCCCGTCCCGGCCCCTAGACGCCCGCGCGCCGCCCGTCCCGGCCCCTCGACGCCTGCGCGCCGCCCGTCCCGGCCCCTCGACGCCCGCGCGCCGCCCGTCCCGGCCCCTCGCCGCCCGTGAGCCGCCCGTCCCGGCCCCTAGACGCCCGCGCGCCGCCCGTCCCGGCCCCTAGACGCCCGCGCGCCGCCCGTCCCGGCCCCTAGACGCCCGCGCGCCGCCCGTCCCGGCCCCACGACGCCCACGCGCCGCCCGTCCCGGCCCCTAGACGCCCGCGCGCCACCCGGCCCGACCCCTAGACGCCCGCGCGCCGCCCGTCCCGTCCCCTCGACGCCCGCGCGCCGCCCGTCCCGGCCCCTCGACGCCCGCGCGCCGCCCGTCCCGGCCCCACGCCGCCCGTGAGCCGCCCGTCCCGGCCGCGCACCGCAAGTCCCGACCCCACGCCGCCCGTGCGCCGCCCGTCCCAGCCGCGCGCCACCGTCTCGGTCCCCACGCCGCCTGTGCCGCTGAGGAGCTGAGCCGCCCGAGCCGCCCGAGCCGCCCGCACCGCCCGAGCAGCCCGAGCCGTGCTGCCCCTCAGCAGCACAACCGAGCCGCCCGACAGCAGAGCAGCCGAGCCGCCCAGCAGCCGAGCCGCTCAACAGCCGAGCCGCCCAGCAGCCGAGCCGCCCAGCAGCCGTGCCGCCCAGCAGCGGAGCCGCCGAGCCGCCGAGCCGCCCGACAGCCGAGCCGCCGAGCCGCCGCGCCGCCCTCCTTCCGGGCCGCCCGACCTGTCCAGTCTGGTGAGCACAGCGCCCTTTCACTGCACTGCCCTCACCCTACTGTTTGCGCTGCCAGTCGTCTAGGGTCATGGCTACCCCTAGTGTTCTAGTCTTTGACGCTGAGGGTCGGGCCATTGACTTTGAGGTCTGGGTGGATGACCTGCAGCTGTTCTTACAGTGCGATAGGGCAGATGGTCTCTCTCTCTTTGACCTCACCTCTGGAGCCTCCACTGCCCCTGCTGCTGACGCCGACGCCACTGTTCGCTCCCAGTGGGCCACGCGCGACGCTGCTGCACGTCTTGCTGTGCGTCGCCACCTCCCTACCTCCGAGCGTGCACACTTTAGTCAGTACAAGAGTGCTCAGACCTTGTACGACGCTGTAGTTGCGCGCTACTCCTCCCCTGCCACTGCTGCACTGAGTCGTCTCATGCTACCGTACCTCTTTCCTGACCTTGCTGCCTTTCCCACAGTCGCTGACCTCATTACGCACCTCCGCACTAGTGACACTCGCTACCGCGCTGCACTCCCTGCTGACTTCTGCGCCAAGAACCCCCCCCCCATGTACATCACTCTTTACTACATAGTCACTCGCCTTCCTGACTCCCTTCGCGTAGTCAGGGACCACTTTCTCTCTGTCTGTCCCACCACTCTCACTGTTGACCTCCTCGAGAAGTCCCTCCTAGCGGCCGAGAAGAGCATAGTCGCTGTAGGGGCCTCTCGTGGTGACCCGCGCACCCCCATCTTTGAGGGGTGTTCCCCCTCCCCCCTTCTGCCCTCTGTTGCCTCTGCTGCTGCGGCCGACCTCCTTGGTCTTGAGTCGGTCGGTGTGGCGTCTGCCCCTAGTGGGAGACGCCGCTCTGGCAAGGGCAAGGGGGGCAAGGGCGCTGGAGGAGCGAGCGGGGGCGGTGGAGGTGGAGGTGGCGGCAGTGGGGGGAGTGGGGGTGGCGGTGGGAGTGGAGGTGGGGGTGGAGGAGTCGGTGGCGGCAGTGGAGGCGGAGGTGTCGGCGGCGGTGGCAGTGGGAGCGGGGGTGGCGGAGGTGGCGGCGGCGGAGGCGGAGGTGGAGGCGGCGGCAGTAGCGGAGGCGGCGGAGGCGGAGGAGGCGGCGGGGGTGGAGGTGGTGCTGGTCGCGGGTCTTCGCAGAGGAGTGGCTCCGGTGGTGGCTCGCGCCAGCAGCAGCAGCGTGGTCGTGACACCTTGTCCCCTCAGCAGCTTCGTGAGTGGTACACTGCGCGTCAGCGAGGTGGGGGTTTTGGTCCGTGCTCCTACGTTTTGCGCACCGGCGACCGTGCGGGTGAGCAGTGTGGGGGTCCCCACCCCACTCAGCGCTGCTTTGGCCGCCTGACGGACGCGTGGCGTCACCAGTTCCCGGAGGCCTCAGAGATCCCTCGTTGGGGTGACCTGTCCAGGGCGGGTGTTGCCATCTATGATCTTGACTTTGATGCTATTCTCTCTGCCATGTATGCTGTGTCTATTAGTGATGAGGGTGACTGTTACCGGTGTTTCCCGCCCGATCCGGGTATTGAGACTGCTGCTCTAGGTCCTGGTGAGGCTGCTGCCCTAGGTGCTTGCGACGCTGCTGCCCTAGGTGCTCGTGTGTCTGCGTCCTCAGGTACTGGTGAGTCTGCGCTCTCAGGTACTACGTCGGCTTCGGCCTCCCTCACCTTCACCCTTGACTCTGGGGCGTCTCGCTCCTTCTTTAGGGACCGCACCACACTCACACCGCTGAGTCGACCGGTTGCAGTGTCTCTGGCTGACCCCTCTGGGGGTCCTGTCCTGTCTCGCTTCTCCACAGTCCTCCCGTGTCCGGCGGCTCCCTCTGGCACCCTGTCTGGTCTCTACCTCCCCTCGTTCTCTACGAACCTGGTGAGTGGTGCTGACCTACAGGATGCGGGTGTACACCAGTTCACTCCTGCGCGTCAGCGGGTGACGCACTGTACAGAGGCTCGCACAGGCCGACACCTGGCTACGTTTACCCGTCAGCCGGGGTCGAGCCTGTACACACTGACCACTGCGTCTCCTCCCGTTACTGAGTCTGGTAGAGTCGCTTCGTCGGGTCAGGTGTTTGCTGCTGCGTCCAGGTCTGGTCCTGAGTCTGCCCCCTGTTCTTGTCGTCTCCTGTCTCACGAGACTCTTCTCTGGCACCACCGTCTTGGTCACCCCTCTCTGCTTCGGCTCAGAGGCATGGCCTCCCGTCTTCTAGTGTCTGGTCTTCCCCGGTCCCTCCCTCCCCTTCCTCAGGGCCCTGGCCCTACCTGTGTCCCCTGTGTCGAGGGGCGCCAGCGTGCTGCCCCTCACTCCTCCCAGTTTCCTCCGACAGAGGCCCCGTTGCAGACGCTCCACATGGACGTGTGGGGCCCAGCCCGCGTCCGTGGGCAGGGTCACGAGCGCTACTTCCTGCTCGTTGTTGACGACTACTCGCGTTACACCGCAGTCTTCCCCTTGCGCGGCAAGGGTGATGTCACTGAGGTGCTGATCGACTGGATCCGCGCAGCTCGTCTCCAGCTCAGGCAGAGCTTTGGCTCCGACTTTCCTGTTCTGCGTCTGCACTCGGACAGAGGCGGAGAGTTCTCCTCTGGCTTTCTGCGAGCCTACTGTCGTGCACGAGGCATCCGTCAGACCTTCACGCTCCCGGACTCTCCGCAGCAAAATGGGATTGCTGAGCGCCGCATTGGCATGGTCATGGACGTCGCTCGTACGTCTATGATGCATGCGGCTGCCCCCCATTTTCTGTGGCCGTTTGCGGTGAGGTACGCGGCACGTCAGATCAACCTTCACCCCAGGGTCTCCAGGCCGGAGACCTCCCCAGCCTTGCTGTGGACCGGGAAGGTGGGCGATGCGTCGGCGTTCCGGGTCTGGGGATCTCGGGCGTTTGTCCGCGACTTGTCTGCGGACAAACTGTCCCCTCGTGCTGCTCCTTGCGTCTTCCTGGGGTTCCCCCCAGACGCGCCTGGGTGGCAGTTCTACCACCCCACCTCTCGCCGTGTTCTGTCCTCTCAGGACGTCACGTTCGACGAGTCGGTACCCTACTACCGCCTCTTCCCCTACCGCACTCCGTCCCCCCCCCCCGCCCCCGCTCTTCCTTGTACCAGGTCCCCCCCCGGTAGACCCCCTCCCCCCTCAGGGTCCTGCCCCTTCAGGTGTGTCCCAGGTAGACGCAGTCGAGCCTGTCGAGGTCACTGGTGACTCTGGTGCTGCTGGGGGTGCTGGGCCTGGGGATGCTGGGCCTGGGAGTGCTGAGCCTGGGGGTGCTGAGTCTGGGGGTGCTGAGCCTGGGGGTGCTGAGCCTGGGGGTGCTGAGCCTGGGGGTGCTGAGCCTGGGGGTTCTGAGTGTGGGGGTGCTACGCCTGGGGGTGCTTTGCCTGGGGGTGCTGGACCTGGGAGTACTGCGCCTGGAGGTCCTCCGCCTCGAGTTTCTACGCGTGCTTTGTCTCGCCGGGAGCCACTCTCTCCACAGGAGCTGCGCGAGTGGTTTGCCCGGCGCTGGAGCCGTGCTGCTGGTGCTGGAGGTTCGTCGGCTACTGAGGGTGCTGCTGTTGCGGGTCCCGGAGGTGCTCGTACTGGGAGTACTGGAGCTGCTGGGCCTGCGGGTTCGACTGGAGCTGGTGCTGCTGAGGGTGTTGGAGCTGAGACTACCACTGGCGGTCCTGCTGGGGATGCTCCTGGTGTTGCTCGAGGTTCTGGAGCTACTGGAGGTGCTGCTGGAGCGGGTGCTCCTGCTGGGGGTACTGGTGCTGTCCCTGCTGTTTCTGGCGTAGCTACGCGGCCTCGACCGTACTTCGTTCCACTCCTGCAGCAGGTTCTTGGTCTTCCGCCCTCTCCTGGTCCTCCTCCTCTCTTGGAGGGTCCACAGCCTGTCCCGTCGCGGTCACTGCTACAGCCTACCTCCCCTTTACCTGCTCCTTCTCCCTACACTGGTCCTACTGGAGGTCTTACTGAGCGTCGTGAGCCTGCGTCTCGCCCTGCGTCGCCTGTCCGTGCTGCTCGCGCTAGTGGTCGTGGTTCGCGTCAGCGTCCTCCTCCTGTCCCTGGCACGCACAGGATGTCTCTGCGTCCGTCTACTGCTCCTCTGCGTGCCCCTTTGCCTTCTCCTCCTGAGTCCTCTCTTCCTGCTCTTCCCGACCCTGCGTCGGACTCTCTTCGTGCTGCCAGTCCTACTGTCACGCGTCTCCTTGCTACTGTCGTCACTGACCCTTCCTTCGAGTCTACTGCTGCGTCTGCCCTAGTTACTGAGCTCGTCGACTTTGCTGCTCGCTGTCGCCTAGACTACGCTGCTAGTCTTGTCGCTGAGTCTGGGTCTGCCTGTCCTCCGTCAGTCGGGGGTGAGTGTGCCCTTGGCACGGACGTCCTTGAGGACAGGCAGGAGGAGTTCCAGTGTCTGGCAGCTACTTCACCTCATCTCGTGTCCGTACTGCTTACCCCTGAGGGAGACCCGGATGCACTTGACATCCCGACTCCGCGCTCTTACGCGGAGGCGGTAGAGGGTCCCTACTCCTCTCAGTGGCAGGCAGCTATGGATGCAGAGATGGCTTCCTGGAAGTCCACAGGCACCTACGTTGACGCTGTCCCCCCTCTTGGGGCGAACATCGTCAGTGGCATGTGGATCTTCAGGGTGAAGCGGCCGCCGGGTTCTCCGCCTGTCTTCAAGGCACGTTACGTGGCTCGTGGCTTCAGTCAGCGACAGGGAGTTGACTACTTTCAGACCTTCTCCCCCACCCCGAAGATGACCACTCTTCGGGTGCTGCTACACGTTGCTGCTCACCATGACTACGAGCTGCACTCTCTCGACTTCAGCACTGCTTTCTTGCAGGGCAGCCTGCACGAGGAGATCTGGCTGCGCCGCCCACTTGGCTTCACTGGGTCTTTCCCTCCTGGTACCCAGTGGAGTCTCCGGCGTCCAGTCTACGGTCTCCGCCAGGCGCCACGTGAGTGGCACGACACACTGAGGACTACGCTTGCGGCTCTTGGGTTTGCTCCTTCTACTGCCGACCCGTCGCTGTTTCTACGCACCGACACCTCTCTGCCGCCGTTCTACATCCTCGTGTACGTCGACGACTTGGTCTTTGCCACAGCTGACACTGCTGGACTCGCCCACGTGAAGTCCGAGCTGCAGAAGAGACACACGTGCACAGACCTGGGTGAACTGCGCAGCTACCTTGGCTTGCAGATCACCCGGGACAGAGCACGCCGCACCATTACCCTGACTCAGTCACACATGGTGCAGCAGGTCCTTCAGCGCTTCGGCTTCACGTACTCCTCGCCTCAGGCCACTCCTCTGCCTACTCGCCACTCACTCTCAGCTCTGCCTTCGGATGAGTCAGTAGAGTCGAGTGGCCCGTATCCAGAGCTTGTTGGCTGCCTCATGTACCTGATGACCTGCACACGACCTGACCTTGCATAGCCTCTTAGCATTCTTGCACGCTATGTTGCTCCTGGGAGACACCGACCAGAGCACATGGCTGCAGCGAAGAGGGTGTTGCGATACTTGTGCAGTACGTCGGGCATGGGACTAGTGCTTGGAGGGCGGAGTCCAGTGGTCCTCACTGGGCACGCGGACGCTTCTTGGGCTGACGACCAGGCTACGCAGCGGTCGTCGCAGGGTTACACCTTCAGTCTTGGTTCCGGCTCTGTCTCGTGGCGAGCTACTCGCTCGTCCTCTGTTCTTGGCTCCAGTTGTGAGGCTGAGATCTACGCCGGGGCCATGGCTGCACAGGAGCTTCGCTGGCTCACCTACCTGCTGACTGACCTTGGAGAGCCGCCTCGTTCTCCTCCAGTGCTGTACGTAGACAACAAGGCCATGCTGGCCTTGTGTCGAGAGCAGCGCTTGGAGCACAGAACGAAGCACATTGCTCTCCGTTACTTTCTTGCTCGTGAGCTGCAGCAGCGTGGTCAGTTGCGACTTGCGTACGTGGCCTCTCAGGCCAACACTGCTGATGTGTTCACCAAGGCACTTGCGCCTTGTGACCATCAGCGCTTCTGCACTCAGCTGGGTCTTGTACCTGTCTTGCCTCACTTGCTCTCCTCTTGACCTTACTTGTACTGTCACATATATATACCTGCTCTTGCTTGTCTAGCTCTATATATATATGTGTACTCCTGCATGTGAACTGGCCTTGTGGCCTTTGTCGTTGTGCTCGGACTGTGTGGTGACGTTGTGATCCACCCTGAGCTTGCTCTGCTTTGCTTGACTGGTCTTGTGACCCCTTGTTCTCCCCCACTTTGCCTATGGGGGTGTGTCAGAACATTATATAGCTTATGCTGTTGTGTAGGCTATAGTGGGGTATCCCATAGGGAGTACAACCCAATTAGGGTTTTCCATATGTACTCACCTCATTCATAGTTCATTCATTCTCGTTCTTCATTCTTCTCAGTGCGCTCGTTGGCTCGCGAGAGCGGCATCCATCGCAAATGTCTCTCTAAATGGAAGCGCTCTGCGGACTTCCTCAAAGAGGTACACTCTGCCCGTAAGCGCATGCATGGTCGAGGGCGAGCGTCGTGGTACCGGCCGATGGAGCTGAAGGTCTACGAGAGGCTCCTCGAATGGCGTCGCAAAGGAACCGCTGTATCCGTCGGCCGCCCGCAGGAATGGTCTCGTGAATTCATGAAGGAACTCTTCCCAACCGAGAAGTGGAAGGGGAGCCAACGGTGGTCTGAGCGCTTTCGGCGCCGATGGAATCTCAGCGTGCGCATGAAGACGCGGGTGGCACAGAAAACCGCGGCCCGTAAGATGTCGTGTATTTTTAAGATTTTTTGTACTGCGCCGTTTATTGTTACTAACACGTTCATGTTGTGTCGCCCCATGGTCTGCCTTGTCACAGATGTCGCGGAGCAGTGCAGGAACTTCTGGCGCTTTGTTCGTGAAAAGCGCCGTGAGCGCGGCATCGACACCGCGTGGATCATCAACGCGGACCAGACGCCGCTCTGGCTGGAGATGCCCGCGACCACCACCGTGGACCAAACCGGCGTTCGGTCAGTGCCGATCAGAAGTGCGGGGTACCAGAAGGAGAGAGTTACCGTGATGCTCGCGTGCACGGCGGACGGGGTGAAGCTCAAGCCCTGGGTATTTTTCAAGCGGAAGACCGTGCCGAAGGGCGATTTCCCGGCGGGTAAGTCATGGTTTATATTACTGTATCGTGTTCTGTATCTTCTCTTTAATCGACTGACATCTTGTTCATCTACGCCTGTGCAGATGTGGTCGTGGCGTGCCACGAGAACGGGTGGATGGACGCGGAGGGCGTCATCCGATGGCTTGAGGAGTGTGTCAAGCCTTTCTTGAAGCCCCGGTTCGGCAGGTGTGCGAAGAGCTCCATGCTGGTGCTGGACAGCTACCGTGGTCACCTCACCGAGGGGGTGAAGGAGAAGTTCCGCGAGCTCAACTGCGTGCCGGCGGTCATCCCGTCTGGGTGCACGGCGGAGGTGCAGCCCCTCGATGTCTCTATCAACAAAAGCTTCAAAGCTTCAATCCGCCAGCAGTATCAAAAGTGGTTTCAAGAAGAGGGGCAGGAGCAGCTGACAGCAGCAGGTACGTTGTAAGCTACGGTAGATGCATATGCTTGTTTATCCACTCCTCCTCCCCTTTGCAACGCTAACTCTGTCCGTGGTGTTATTGTCCGTGCAGGGAATCTCAAGAAGCCCCCCCCAGCAGTGGTCCTGCGATGGGTCTCTCGGGCATGGAAGGCCGTGCCCGCCGACCTCATCAAGCGCGCCTTCCTCACTTGTGGCATTAGCAACGCGCTTGACGGCAGCGAGGACGGCCTCGCGATGGCACACAGGCGGACCCAGCTGACCGCGGAAGTGGATGTCGACGACGACATCATCGCTGATGGCTTCTTTGGCAACAACTTCCAGGAGCCTGAGTCTGACGAGGAGGAGTAGGAACGGTAGTTGGTTCATTGGTGGGAAGGCTTGTATAAAGGTCTGTTAATTGAGTTAGAAGTATCGTAGATGGATGTAATTGTTGGTGCTAGACTTATAATGAAAATTTCTGTGATGTTAGTAGTTAGTTTCTTAAATTGAAAAAAAAATGTATTAAAGTAGGCGCTTATAATAAGTACGGGTACAAAATGGTATGCGCTTATAATCGAGGAACGGCCATAAGCTCCATGCTCCAGATAGAGGCGTCGGCGCCTTTAATCGGACGGCGCCTATATCCGGGGCCATACGGGTATTAAAGATTAGCTACAGTATGTGCCTGTACGTAATATAGTGTTACGAGTGCAATTGAGTGAGCGAGCGAGAATTGCACTATCGAAGCAAGAGTACAATGAGCGAAGGCATGAGCGAAGAATATATAGCGAAACTACAGTGGTAACAGGGCTGACGTTTCAAAAAACGCCTCCCTGTCTTTGACCCGCATTTTTTTTTTCTACTCTGATGGCACTTCGGCCGCAAAATGGCCACTCTGAGCGTGTTAAAAGAAATCAGGGTTGAAAAAAACACAACTCTGGTCCTTCAGTGTTGGGGAAATGACTTCAGAGTCGCGGTTTTTTTTTTGGTTTTTCCTTCTGGTTTGTCGGTGAGCTTCAAGGGCGAGAAGGACTGTTGCAACATTGGCTCGATTTGGCGCAACTTTGCAAGTGCCAACTGGGCGACCTGCCATGCAGCTGAGCTGGCACAAAACACAAACCACCACTTGGCGCGCGAGAATCTGCCGGTGCCTCCGCAACATAAATTTTCAACCTACGAATCAGGAACAATTTATTTCAAGTGCTGTGGTGCGGAGAAATTTTCGATTTCAGCACCAAAAAGTGCGATACATTACCAGTGGCAAGATATCCTCACCCACCGATTCGCCGATTTGTTGTGCTATCTGCTAAGATATCACTATTGGGCTTCTTTTTCTAGCCCGCTTCAACGGTTAACCTAAGTGGGACACAATTCAACCTGCGTGATACTGCCACAGATAGAGTGTATTCAGATATCGCAGCAGGTGCTGTGTGCTTTGCTCACGTGTTGGCATTCGCTGCCACCTCGGAGGTGGGTGTATCGAAAGGAAATTTCGAGGAAGTTTCCTCCCGATAAACTCGCACGCAGGGACCACAGAACGCATACTCTGTAGTGACAGACTCCAGAAATGACTAACACTTAGGCCTATTACACTGAATCAGGGGCCATAAAACAATAACTCTGAGGCTCTCAGTGATGAAAATTTGACTACTCTGGAATTCCATTTTTCACAAACTCAATGGTCTGATTCGTCAGACTAATCAGACTATTTAGTCTGATAGCGTCAGCCCTGAGTGATAACGGTAATGGACTGTGGTTGTCGCGCGACGGGCCTGGACTGAGGTTTGGGAAAAATGTCGAAGCGGAGGCCCGGAGCGCGGGTTACCAGCACGGCTTATTTTTGGATTTTTACTACTCGGATTTTCAGAGTTGTTTTTTTGGGAACTCTGAAATTCAGGGTTGATCATGAGCGCTACTCTGATTTGTCAGAGAAAACTTAACTTCCTAAAAAAAAAACCCGGGCAGTCAGTGTACCTATTTCTCCAATTATGTGTGTCCTGTCAAGTACCGTATTCTCCCGGATAAAACACCCCCCCGTAATTGTACACCCTCGGGTAGCTAATACGGGGTGGGTGTTATATCCGACCCCGTTTGTACTATACCCCCCCTTTTGGGGTGATTTTCTATAACACCCCCCTTTTTTTATAGATTCCTATTATAGCTGTTATCGAGTCCGATTCCTTACGGGAGGATATCGCGAGAATTGCTCCCTAGGTGAAATTTCGTGTGTACTTTCACTTCAAATCTGCCAAGATTTCCCCCCTCCCACAATCTCGCTGTCGCCACGCTGGCGAATCTTCCGCTGCAAGTGGCCCAATAGGTGAAAATCACCTTCTCACATGAGGCACAGACACGTGACCAAACCAGTCAAGAAGTGACTGGTACAGTAAGAACGCACCACCGTGCGCGATTCTTGCCTCGGCGGTTGCATGAACCCTCGCCACGCAATTGGCTTTGTTTTCACCCTATCAAGTGCCAAAATTGCCCACTCGAATATGCCACGTGGCAGATTCCAGTGGGCGGTCACGTTATCCTCGTATACTCGGTTTTGCGGCACTGGTCAACAATCTTGAAGTGAAGTCAGACACCTGATTTTGTTTCACATCTTTTCTACTTGATAAAAAATATACCATATAATAAGACCCGGGTATTATGTAGGATTTTCCTTTGAGGAGATGAGAAACTGAACGAGAATGAATTGACTAAGGGAAAGTTGGGTACAAATGCAAACCTTAGAAAATTGTACCCTATATGTGCTACCCCACTATAGCCTACAGTAGCTATGTCATATAAATCTGACACACCCCCATAGGCAAAGTGGGGGAGAACAAGGGGTCACAAGACCAGTCAAGCAAAGCAAAGCAAGCTCAGGGTGGATCACAAAGTCACCACACA